GGTATACTGTACTTGGTTAGGTAATGGGATGCCGAGTGGCCTATATAGATGGTATACTGTACATGGTTAGGTAATGGGATGCCGAGTGGCCTATACAGATGGTATACTGTACATGGTTAGGTAATGGGATGCTGAGTGGCCTATACAGATGGTACACTGTACATGGTTAGGTAATGGGATGCCGAGTGGCCTATACAGATGGTATACTGTACATGGTTAGGTAATGGGATGCCGAGTGGCCTATACAGATGGTATACTGTACTTGGTTAGGTAATGGGATGCCGAGTGGCCTATACAGATGGTATACTGTACATGGTTAGGTAATGGGATGCTGAGTGGCCTATACAGATGGTATACTGTACATGGTTAGGTAATGGGATGCCGAGTGGCCTATACAGATGGTATACTGTACATGGTTAGGTAATGGGATGCTGACTGGCCTTAATCGTGCAATTTTCCAGCAACTATTTTCACGAAAGAGTTCCCAGTGTTCCTCCACTGCCAGTGCTTGGGTGCTGAGTCAGAACAGAGCCTGACTTTTGTGCCTGGTACCATTTCAGTTCAGGCTTCCTTCACCGAGATTCTTCTTGACAGAGTATTGCATAACTGCTTTAACTCACCACACTGTCAATGAAGGAGTGATCCACCCTGAACTGCTTTCATAAATCCGCTTTTTTCTATTAATGTAAATGAAATAATGGAGGGAGAAATACAAGAGATGAAGGATGAAATCCAAGAATTTTTCTCTGTTTAGATGAATGCTAAAGTTCTGTGGGACGTAGAGCGTCTGGACTGAAAGGCTGCTACACATCTGTGGTCAACTCTTCTCAAAATTGTTTACTGGTGCCTTTTCTGTAATACATTTTGGATACTGTACTAAGCACTTCAGAAGTTTTATATGCAATTGTTTCCAACTTTCCCCCATTTGCTTTGTATCTAGTAAGGTTTAATACTAAATTGAAAGTTTATTTTATTCCTAGCTGTGGTTGAAATCAATTTGATTGTGATTTGTTTTATGTACATCATTGTTTATCTGTCATTTGTGTAAGTTTGCATTTTAACATTTTGTTCAGAAATGTGCAGAATATGACTTTACAAACTAATATTTGACACACATTTATACCTTTATGCATTATTTGGTGATGACTTGATGAATCTAAATTATGTCTTATTATGTAAAACCATATAACCTAAGAGACGTTCTTTGGCTCAGTGGGTTAGGATGGTGTTTCTGAACCCAGTCCTTGGCGACCCCATCCAGATGGTTTGTGTTTTTGCTCCCTGGGCTGTGTGGTTGGGGCTGGGAGGGAGCAGAACCAGATTGAGAAACACTGAGTTCTTGTGATTGGACAGGACTTTGCAGTTGGGCCCTTGAGCAAGGCCCATATGCACCCACACACACACATATATATATATGAACACACACACAAACACACTTAAAATATTAATGAGAGGGTAAGTTAGTAATCTGTTTAAAATCGGCATATCCTTATATTTATTAAATTCGGTTAGCGAATGCTACTGTTTTGGTAAATCATGGAAGCGATAAGCACTGAAGCGGCGGTGAAGAAAGGAACAGCTCAACATCATTTAAAAGAGGAGATATTGTGGATAAACTAGGTAAAAAGATGTTGGTAGTGTGGCGGGACTTTTTGCAGTTTAAAGTCCAATATGTTTTTTTGGTAAATATAGCTTTCATTTTTATTGCAGTTCAAGAATTATTCTTGTTTTTTTTTTATTTAGTTTGTTTTCTCTTCATTTTTAGTTTATGATAATAACAATGGTCCCAACAAGCCCAACCTGTACAAACACATGTGTCGGCACCATAAATCCTTCAAGAATAAGCCCAGATTTTAGCCTAAATGTTTTCTCAAACACTTATTCAATGGAGATTCTCCGGTAGCATGCAGGCAACTTTTTGGCTTTAATGGTGAGTGTATTTAGCAGCAGCTGTCCCGTTAGCTGGGTGGTTGGGGTTTGAATCGGTCAGCGCTCGTCAGTCTGTAGTGTGCTCCCTTTTTGAGGGGGCTGGCTAGCCTTGAACTGAAGTATGTCTGCAGAGTGCCTGGAGTTTATGGACGTACTGTATAACTAATTCTGGCAAAGTCTCTGTCACTGGCTAGTGAAGGAGCTTGTGGTTTATATGCTTACGGGGTAGAATTTATATAAAGCAGCCCCAAGGCCAGCAGATTCTAACACAAGGAAAATGGTGAAACCACAGCAGGAAATTATAAAATGCTATTACTATGGAAGCCACAATGGTGATCATCCTGCATTAGGGCTGACAAATTAGCCCTGCCTGTTCTTAGTTTCAGGGTGTGGATAAGGATCTCCAGTAAAATCTTACTTAAGGGGCATAAATCACTCGGTGACAACTCAAATACAAATCATGAACAAATATAGTAACTGCTGAAATACATGAACCATTTTGATTGATTAATGATGAACGAATATGGGATCAGCACGTAACTAACACTTATTTACTGGTTAATTAATGCATTAAGTTAGCGTGTAGTACTGCATTATTTGTGTTCCCTCGTAGTGTGTTACTGCATCTAAAAAGAGAAAGCAGATTAAATAGAAGTAACATTTTGTCAGGGCACAAGTAACTTAGTAACTCAGTTACTACTCAAGTACCAATCATGAACTAATATAGTGGCTGCATGAAATACACGGACCATTTGAAACGATTGATTAATGATGAAACATGGAATCAGTATGTAACTAACACTTAGTTACTGGTTAATTAAGGCATTAATTAATAGTGTACTACTACATTACATGTGCCCCTGAGTAAACTTACTGGATCGCCTTTTTTAGAAGCATAGACTAACAAAAACCGAGACAAACACACTGGATCATGAGTTTGAGCTCAGATATCAATGTAGGAATATATGATTACCTAACTAAGATGGAAGTGGCCAGTGATTGTCAGCCGTCCAGGTAGAGATGTCTCCAGACATGCAGTAGCTCAGGAAGAAACTTGAGTATCAGAGGAGAGGTAAGAGACAGAGCAGTGTTGGCGTGTATGGTGATATGAAGGGGACATGGAGAATTTGAGATGTGATCTACGGGAAAAGAGGAAGAGATCCAGCAGAGCCAGCAATGGACACCAGCAGAAAGGGACCGACCAATTACTGGGACCCCTTACTGGGACCTGAAATGCTCGACTCATGTCAGGGTGGTGCTTGTTATTTCCAGCTTAGCAAACAGCATGGAGGGTGGTGAGGCAATTTGCAGTATTAAAGCTAAGCAGACGTGACTCTGTATCACATGGAGAGGGGTTAGCAGAGCGGAGGGCTGAGGTTAAGGATTGTTTTTAGCTTCTTAAAGGATTTCTTCATTTTACTTAAACTGAACAAAAACTATTATTCATGGTGAGCAGAATATACTGTTTGTTTGGTGGGAGGTTTATGGATGATTTTTGGGGTAACAGGTGACCCACTCTTTTCATTTTGTTTATCTCCCTGTCCTTCATCTAATAATATCTGTTTCCTTTGCGATTTCTCATTTAACTGCAGGAACATGTGTTTCAAACCCCTTGTCTCTGTCTTCTTCTGCATCAATTCTGTCCTCACTGTCTGGAACTCATTATCTCTCATTGTCACACTTCAGACTTCAAGTGGTCAAATTATGACAATTAAAATAATTATCTGTCGTGTTACAAAGGAGTCCTCACCACTGACCACAAGATGTCAAGACTGATTAAATTTTTTAATTGGATTAATCAAACAAATTGAATTTCAATATCTGCTATTATTTTATCTGCACATGCCTAATGTTGTTTTGTATGATCTGGCAGGACGTGTGGGATCCAGCATCTGGAGAGGGCAGGGAAGAATCTCTCTCTGTTCAAGTCGCTGTATTTCTGCATCGTCACCTTCTCTACGGTGGGATATGGAGATGTCACCCCTCGGATCTGGCCGTCCCAGTTGCTGGTGGTCATCATGATCTGTGTGGCTCTAGTAGTGCTCCCCCTACAGGTACGAGTTGCTTACCCCTTTCAGTAAGATCGCAAAGAACATAAGTAGCAATATACTAGAGGTATGCAGCTTTTAAAGAGAGAGAGGTTAAAATATATAGTCTTATGTAAAATTATGATTAGTTTAGAAATTCACAGTAGTTTCTACTTTACTGTCCTGATGGATCTGGAGTTTGATTTGTGGCTCCCTGGGTCACTGGCAGGTGTATTTCTGGGTAACATCTACCACATATAAAAAATATAGAAATATAGAATATACAAATATAGATATATAGAATATAGAAATATAGAAATGTCAATACTGTTAAATAATGGTATTTAACTTAGAAATGATGGTGAAAACAGACAAACCAGCTACAATGTTATTTGAAAAATATCTTGAAGAAATCAATTTGCGAACCTGTTGTGTGCTGTCTTAATCTTTTCTCTACTGATGCCTCTCATGAATATAGTTTAAGATTTCGACTTTTTCACACCTAGTTTTCATCCTGTAGTTCCTTTATGAACTTTTACTGTATAGAGTATCTGTATAATTTGACATTTGCTGTCATATTAATTGCCTTGCTTTGATTCATAACAGTTAGATTTCAGTCAGCCTTTGTCAAAAACCTAATGGAAGGACATTGACAGATAATTGTGGAACTCTTAATTTCCTGTGTGAAAACGTGTTCCTCAGCAGCTTCATAATCCATTGGTACACCCCTTTGACTCTTGCTGATAAGAATATTAATATATGCTTCTTTTTGCTCTGTTACCAGCCTTGTGGTACCGTTGCGCATTAGTACATTTGAACAATATGAGGCGCTGATGGAAAGACACGTTACACTACAGGATACAGTCCTTTTAAGTTACTCAGAAATGAGAAAAGACAGCAAATTAGCAGAAGCACTGTTAATTTAATTATCATAAAAACTATTTTATTCCATATGGATTTTTTTCCCTTAAAGTGGCTTTCTCATCTAAAGCAGTTAAATTTTATGAATTACGAGTCAAGTGAATCTGTTTCTAGTTTGAGGAGCTCATGTACCTCTGGATGGAGAGGCAAAAGTCTGGGGGAAACTACAGCCGACATCGCGCTCAGACGGAGAAGCACGTGGTGCTGTGTGTCAGCGCGCTCAAGATCGACCTGCTCATGGACTTCCTGAACGAGTTCTACGCTCACCCCAGAATTCAGGTAAAAACTGAAAAAATGGTCTAACCAGAAGCCTTCTTTGTGTACAAAAAAATCAATCTGGGAAGTAAAGAGAAAGTCAAAGGCACCTTTAGTAAAGCTCTGTTCAATTTAGACTCTCTCTGTGTCTCTCTCCTCTTCATTCTGCAGGATTACTACGTTGTGATCCTCTGTCCTACAGAGATGGACATTCAAGTACGCCGCATTCTTCAAATCCCACTCTGGTCGCAGAGAGTTATCTACCTTCAGGGTTCTGTGTTAAAGGACCAAGATCTATTGAGGGCCAAGTGAGTGGTCATATACTGCAGTGGAAAAAGCCCACCTCTCTCGTCATCTCTTCAGACTAACTCATTTTTAATTGTCCGCAAAACAGAAGTTCAAAAGTTCGTCACTCTTTCTTTCTGAAAATAGGCTTACAATTATAAGGTTTGACTCAATTCTTTCCATACCCTTTTTTTCCCTGAGTGTGTGGGTGTCCTTTTCATCAAAGTTTGGCTGCAGCTATATTATTCTCCTCGAGGGTTTTCAAGCTGGCTTTTCACAGTGGGGGTCCTTATTCCTTGACTGGCTCGAAGCTCCGTTGACCTGTGAATTGAGTAGCTGGCTACAGTTGCTCATTGACGCCTATTTAGATATTATGATGGAATCAAGGATTTGATTAACTTTAACGGCTGCTTTGAAAAGATCGATACTAGCCTTTATTGAGCATTTTATCATGTGACACCATGTCAGGCCTGTCATAGGTTTAGACTTATTCACGTGGTGTTTTGAGATGTTTGTGAGGGAGGGGACCCTTTTACTCCATCACTGGTAATCACTGCCCCAATTTCATAGTAATTCAGTCTTTATTGATACAGCCATGAAAGATAAGGTCAGATCTGGGAAGTATCAGCTGAGTGGTGGATTCTCGGCATGATCGTGTTATTGATGTGCGGTAAACCATTTGAAGGTCTTTAGCACCTCTTTCACGCCCAGGACGTCACTGTAGTCCAGGATATCAAATCAGAAGTCTCAGGAATAATTATCGGGCTGCAGGATTTTTTTAAACAATATTTTATTCGGATTTTCCGGAAATAAAAACATCCAATATACAGCAAAACGATAAAATCAAAAAGCAAATGACAGCAGATACCATCACATTAAAGGGTCATATCATGGACCAATACAGAAAGAAAGCATTTTCCGGAAATGGGGGATAGAATGGAAAGGAAAATATGAGCGAAATAATAACAGAAACAAAGGAAAACAGTGTTTAACAGACTTGCTGTCATGTCCGTGCCGAGCACGGACCAAAGAAGCGGGCGACGAAGACGAGGAATTGGGAGAAAGGGTTTTAATTGACATTCGGAGAGGCAGACAGGACAGAAAACGGCATAACGCTACAATGACCGGACTGGGGAAACAAACGGAAACCCCGACTAAATACAATGGACTAATTGACAACGACCAGGAACAGCTGGTAAACACGGGGAATCCACCTGGGGTTAACGAGGGGGCGTGGCACACGAGAGGAGCGGACGATCGGGCATGACACTTGCCTGTTCCGGGAGCCACCCGGAGGACAGCATATGCTTTTAATGTAAAACTTTTACATTATTTTTCTCATTTCTTTTTATTTCTTCCTGGTTAGAAATGGTATTTTATTAAACTCTTTAAATCTGAGTAGTACATGTATTTGTTCATGAACTGCGTTGGACTCTTAATGCTCTTATACTGACTGTCGTTAATTTTTATTGTGTATCTGTATAACTATGCATGTGTTTCTCTTTACGTTACATTTCATTCTGTGTTTTCTTCAGAGGCACTAATTCCTTATATTGTGGGAATCATTTTACAGACACTGGCTTTGAATAAACAATCCGTCGATTTGCATGGATGTGTCATTACTATATGCTACATTCTGTTTTTCAGATGGGTGTCCTTTCTCCATTCTTTTGCTGAACCTCCCCATCTCTTAGTCTAATTGAATCGTGATTTCTCCCTTGCAGGATGGATGATGCTGAAGCCTGTTTCATACTGAGTAGCAGAAATGAAGTGGACCGCACGGCTGCAGTAAGCAACACACTGATGCTAAACACACATGTTAAACACACTGATGCTAAACACACATGTTAAACACACCAATGCTAAACACACATGTTAAACACACCAATGCTAAATACACATGTTAAACACACCGATGCTAAACACACATGTTAAACACACTGATGCTAAACACACTCACTCTTTTCCACTCTTAATCACACTTTACCCATCATTTGAATAATAATACACGGAATTGTGCTTTGGGGATGCTTCTGTGGAAGTCTGGATCGTCACAACTTTTACCACATTTTGCCTGTTTTTGATATAGTCTACTAATTAAAAACCACATTAAATGAATCTCACCCCAGCTCCCCACAGGACACCCCGACAGATGTATGTTTGGGCTAATTAGCCAAAGTGTGTGCCTGTGTGTGAACGTGTGCCTGTGTGTGAGCGTGTGTCTGTGTGTTAGCGTGTGCCTGTCTGTGAGAGTATGCCTGTCTGTGAGCGTGTGCCTATCTGTGAGCGTGTTCCTGTCTGTGAGCATGTGCCTGTCTGTGAGAGTATGCCTGTCTGTGAGAGTATGCCTGTCTGTGAGCGTGTGCCTGTCTGTGAGCATGTGCCTGTATTTGCCAATGGTGGCCTCTTGCTGTAGGCTGTATGGGGTAGGCACCTGACTCCCTGTACCTCTGTGCTGAATGAGTGTTTGGAAGATGAACAGATGGATGGATGGATTCCATTATACCATGGAAATAATATCATGCACAGATATAAAACAACTCTAATTACTATAATTTCTGACCAATCAAAGTCACACTTTTTTAATATATCTACTACTAATATCTAACCCTTTGCCTACCTCTCTGGCAGGATCACCAGACCATTCTGAGGGCTTGGGCTGTAAAGGACTTTGCCCCAAACTGCCCTCTCTACGTCCAGATCCTCAAACCAGAGAACAAATTTCATGTGAAGTTTGCTGGTGAGTCACACTTCCTTACTGCTCCTCAGGGCCACGGACAGCTGCCGCATCGTGGCAGAAAACAGCCAACCTCATCGACCAGGTCCTCTGCCAATGAGTCATGAATCTGGTGAAATCTGGAGAACCTGAAAACAGCAGTAAATACATTAATTAATCTCTCCTGTGAAGCATCAGAATGAAGCACAATAGAACAGCATTGAGGGAGGTATATGATTTTCGGATCAGAATGACACCATGTTAACTCTGAATTTACATTTCTGTTTCAGATTATATAGTCTCATGAGTGAGAGTTCAAATACATGCTTGTTTAAAATGATTTTTTGTTTTAATACTTGCACCATGTAGTCTCTGGGATAATGTTCAAGTTTTCTATTGACTGTAAAATCTCATCATCTTCCCACCACTTGCATAGCAGTCCCATGCAGTTCAGACCTCTCTTTTAGCTCATGCTAGGTGATCTTCTGATGTTCCCCAGCCAGCATGTCCTGGGCCTGCCCCAGGTCCTCTGCCAAGTGGGACGTGCCTGTGACAGCTTGCTTGAGAGCCACCCAGGTGACATCCTTATAAGTTGCCTGGACCACCTCAGCTCACTGAAGGGACGCTGGCTCTATTTTCAGATTCCCCCAGATCTGCAGGCTCACACTGTCACAGAGAGTGAGTCTAGCACACATGCAAAAGGCCTCATTCCAGCCACTTTTACTTGTAACCTTATTGTTTTGGTCATTACTCACAGCTCATGACCATAGGTGAGGATATCTGCCTGTCAATCCCACATATTCTCTTACTCATGAACAAGATTCCAAGGCACTTGTAGTAAGGGCAGACTCTCCCACCTCACTTGAAAGGAGCAATCCACTCTTTTACAGGAGAGGTCCTCGCCTCGGATTTGGAGGTGCTGATTCTCATCCCCGCTTATTCACACTCAACATCAAATCACTCAAGTGTGTACTGGAGCTCCTGGTCATATGAGGCTAAAAGCACAATGTCATCTACAGAAAGATGGGTTCATTTTAGCCACCCTTACTGGATGCCCTTCAAGCCATGCGTGTATATAAATATCCTGTCCATGAACATCTGAAATAGGATCAGAGACACAGCACACCTCAGACGGCTTTGGCTCTGTGCCAGCTCTTACTGCATTCATACAGGGACCGATCGGCATGCAGTAGCAGCCATGGGGCTCCATAATCCTGCAACACCTTCCACAGAATCTGCCTGGCCTCTCCAAGTTCAGTGTCGAAGAGCTGGTCCACTGTCTGACAGTCAGTCCGTAATTTACATTGTTCCAGCGGGTGCTGTCTTATCTCTACTACCTTCGTGTGAGCTGGAGGCTAAGAAGAACGAGTCTCCTATTGTGACCACCGCTTACTAAAAATAGGGACCACTTCTGCTTTTTGCCAGTATAGAGGTAACTGACTTCCATGCAGCACTGAAGAGGCATGTCAGCCACGATAACCCAACAACCTCCCTCGGGACACGGGCAAAGTATTTTTGGAGGTGTGAGTTTCATTCGTTGTGCACAGAACTGGCCACCAGGTGCTCTATGGTATTGGCCCCAGTACTCTGGCTCCAGGAGCGGGTTCCCCTAACCCTGTTTTTGGGTTCCTCTTGGCCCCTTTCACTGAGGGGACCAGTCCAGCCTATGGAGGCTGTAACAGAAGTTTCAGCTGCGGATGACATAGATCTGTGGATTGTTAAATCCTGCACAGCCCTTTGCCACGTTAAGGTCACATTTCTCAGAGAGATGATTATACAGCTGACCCTTCGGCATCGCCACTTCAACCACCCATCGCGGTTTTGATATATCTCGGGATTGGCATAAGAAGTTAAATGGGAATTTTTCAGGAGTTTTGCAAAAGCCAGCAGATGACAGACAAAAAGTTTAGACTCATTAACTCACAGTAATCTTTGTATCTCGAGTTTCTGACCAAGGGGACCAAAGAATTTTACGCAGTGGTGGATGTGGAAGGGTCAACTGTAAAATGTAGATTACGAATTCCAGATAATGTTTTAGTCTGTATGAAAAGCTTTAAAGATACTATGTAGGCTGCTAACTGTAATTAATTTTCTGGTTTCAGATCATGTGGTCTGTGAGGAGGAGTTCAAGTACGCTATGTTGGCTCTGAACTGTGTGTGTCCAGCCACATCCACACTGGTCACACTCCTAGTCCACACGTCCCGTGGACAGTAAGTAACCAGGCTCTCTAGTGTTGAGTGACTGCTAGCAGTTCTGTCTAATCCACATCCTCTTTGCATATCTACATCAGTTTGCTGTAATAGTTTGTTCCTACAGTAACACAGTGATTATGGTACATTGTTGAAGTTGTCAGATTATACAAAAACATGGTCTAAAAAACTAATCGCATCCACTTAATTTCTATGTGCTACTAACACTACTGCTGTCAGATTGACATCCTGTTTTATATTTATATGTCATGTTTAAGTTATATATTTATACAAATCCATTGGGGAATTTTCAGAAATCTGTTTCTCTTGTCTGTATGGAATAATGTTTTTACATGAATCTGACTGTCCGAGGCTGAGACTCTCAGTTTAATCTCATAACAAGTACAACTGAATCATGCTGATAGGCTGAGAGATGATGATACATTATGTCATTGGCTACAACACAGCTTCTGCTGATTTGTGGATTAAAGTGCTGTTGAAACAAAGTTTAAACAGGACCAATGCAAATGTTGAATATCAGCCACTGCGAATGTGTATCACTGCAAGTTTGCTACGTAATTTTGATGAAATGCCACGTAGGATGTGAATCTAACTGGAGTCCACCTACCATTATAATGTGTTTAGAAGCAGTTTGCAAAAACTGGTATCAGTCATTTTCCTAGAGTTGGGTAATTCAGGTCCAAAGAGTAAAAGTCCAGACGAAGATTTTGTTTCAACCAACCAGTTGAGTACTCTGTGATTGTGACTCTTTATGCTCAACTGGTTGGTTGAACAAAATCTTCGTCTTGACTTTTACTCTCTGGACCTGAATTACTCACATCTGCATATTCCCCACTGACTGACATGTTCTTGAGTTCAGTATTACTTATAGTCATATAGCAGATGTCAGTTATGTCAGATGATTTGAAATACCATAAGAGGCAAAACTTATATGATATAATAGTTGGATGGTGCTGGATATTGAGATGCATTTTCCTTCTTGTATCGGGGTTAGACTTGTTGTCAGAGAGCTAATTCACCTGAAGGCCCAAGTGCACAGTTGCATCCTAACTTAAAATCACATGTAGGCGCCAATAAATGTGTGCAATGTATTTTTAATCAGGTGCTGTAGCCCATAATCAGTTCATTGTGGTGTAATCTCAAAGAATTAAAAACACCGCAGATTGAAAAAAGTTGTGGCCTTCTATTGGAAATCAGCTGCTATGGATTAACTGCGAGACGTTTTAATCAAGGTGCAGCAGAGCAGAAATAAAGTCTGTAGAGTTAAATGGCTCCCCATGGCATATGTGCTGATGAAAAAAACCACCTTTGATAGAATAGCAGCCTGTATTTATGGCGTCTGCATTGTGCCGCCCCCCCATAGATGCAAAACTGCACTGACGTGCATATTTGTGCAGTGCTTTCTGTTGTTGCTGTAGCCCGCTTACCTGAGTGATGCAGGCACTTACATTAGAGGTTCTTATATAATATAAGAGGAGTATATCATTTAAATAATGTCTTTTTTGCTCTTTCTGCTCTTATAATAGTGAATATGCAGAAGGACACCTCATTATAGTCCAAATTAGGCATTTTGCATAGTGTGCTTTATGAAATTGCAGCAGGCTTTTGTAACTGCCTACATGCTTATTAAAATCAATCAAGTAAGAACATCATTTATGACCCCGGGTACGCAATACTGTTTTTGTGTAAAAGTTTGTGATTGTTCTAAGCCTTCAGAGGATTTCTCTCATTAAAGGGCAAATAGAAAATCTTCTGAGATCTTATGAAATGCATGACGCTGATCACGGTTTCCTGGATAAGCGCGACTATGCGAAGCCCTCAGTAATCACACATGAAGGGGGATCCTTAAAAGGCGCTGGGATTGAGGGAGTGTCAATGGCAACAAGGTGTCTGTCTGTAAAGCAGGGCTGTCGTTGCAGGGAAGGCCAGCAATCCCCAGAGCAGTGGCAAAGGATGTACGGCCGTTGCTCGGGTAACGAGGTCTACCACATCCGCCTCGGAGACAGCAAGTTCTTCGGCGAGTACGATGGAAAGAGCTTCACTTATGCTTCCTTCCATGCCCACAAAAAGTAAGTTGATATATGATATATTTATGAAATCACAGACCTGTGTGTTCATTGTGGCTCAGCAGGCAAGTCTCTGTATCTGTGATCATAAGGTTGTTGGTTCAAGTCCTGGCCTTGGCAGAACAGTCACGTGTCTGTGGGACTCTATGCTGAGACCCTTAATCCCCAGGTCCAGGGGTGCTGCACAATAGATGACCCCCAAGCTATGGATAACGCGATGGGTTGGCTGAAGAGGAGCATTCCAATATACCTGAATGTGCAGTTTCGAATCTGTCCGTGATTTTAAAACTCTACTGATGGGAGTCCATTCTCCATCCCTGGCAGGTATGGAGTCTGTCTGATTGGGGTCAAAAGAGAAGATAACAAGAGCATCCTGCTGAACCCAGGGCCCCGACACATAATGGCCGTCTCAGACACCTGCTACTACATCAACATCACCAAGGAGGAGAACTCCGCCTTCATTTTCAAGCAAGAGGAGAAGCACAAGAGGAAAGGTCTACCTCCAGGTGGTCTCTATGACGCCCCTTCCAGTCTCCCAGTCCACAGCATCATCGCCAGTATGGGTGAGTTCATAAGGTGGCCACTAGGGGGCTGTGACCAAAGGAGTTTCTTTTTCCTCAGGCACAAAATGGTAGTTTTTTTTTCACTCCTGAAGCTTGGAACTGCAGTGTATCCACATTTTCAAAATGCCTTAGAACTTAAGCACCGAACTGAAATAATCTGGCAGGTTTCCATTGATAATAAACCTGTACAGTCTCTCTTAAACCCTGAATGGCCAGGAGGAATATTTATGATTATCTGACACACTGGGCTATCGGCTGGTTATAAGATAATGAGCAGATACGTGGTAAAAACATATGCAAATTTATGCAATAATGGCAAATAAACAGTAGTAATTGCTATAACCTGTTGGCCAGTCATGTGCACTGTTTTACACATGAGAATCAGGGATGTTGCTAAGCAGGCTGGTGGCTGTCGCTCCGGCCTCAGCCGTGGATGCTGGTGTCTCAGATAAGGATGCGTTGATCCTAGCAGAGCAACCTTGCTAGGTGCCTGGAGTCACACCAGAATCATATGGAAAAAAGAGTTTAAAAATTCCCCAAACAGTAATACTCTTACTGTGGCATTTCTACATACATACTGACTAAATAGTCATAAAGTACATTGTTGTTATTGCTCATGAATATGATGAAATGAAAAAATATCAATTTAAAATAGGATACAATAATCTATTATATAATCAAACATTATACTAGTACTGTGAATTCTTTATACTTTTAATTGCATTATAAAATAACATTCCACAGTTAATATTTATGTCAGTGAGATTCCTTGTATATGATATATGCAATCCTTGTATGTGATTATTCAGAGTTGCGTACAAAATTTATGTGAGGCACCAAAATTATGAGACTTGTTTTCAATTCTGCTGGACAGGAAAATAGTAAATCATATGTACAGAATTATTTCATCTTGGCCAGTGATAAATTACTGAAAAAGCTTTTGATTCCAAAAGCTATAAGGCAGCAATTTGGCAGAACTATACATCCTGATATAAATATGTTCATACTGCAAAAATTGTCATCTTATGATTATCGCACCAATAAAATTTCATATCAGCCCTCCCCTGCTTTAGAAGCTGACTCCCTCCATAACCAGATTATAGAGGTAACCTGTACTTCAGAGTCTGTGTCAAAGTGCTTTTCTGTTTCGTCCTATTTCTGGCAAATTTCAGCTATCTGTCAATCTCTTTATTGCGTTTATGTCTGTTTCTACAGACTACCAGAGTCAGTGGCGTGAGATGACTCACATGAGCATATATGACTGGCAGAGTCATACTCATTTGAGAATAAAGACACTGTTTCCATCGTGTCATCTTTTTTCTCAGCAGTATTTAGCACAACAGGTGCATCTTATCTTCTGGAAGCTGCTTATCCTGGCCAGCATATAAAACGGAGTGACAGGGCTCCTCCATGTCTGGGGTGCATAACCACTGATCTGAGACAAAAGAGGCCAAGCTGCAGTTTTATTTGTAATTATTTTTATTATGTAACTGGGAAGGCAGAACAGTGCACTGCTTTTTGCTAGATTTTGTTGTAATACAGCCATTATTAGGAGTCACTTAACAATAAGAATTTTAAATATTCTTGTCCCCGCGTCATTTGTCTGTGTGCTTATGTTACACGACGGCATGTGAAAGTTAAGTTTCTATGCTAAAGTTTGTTTTTTTTCCCCTGACATTGTCTTTATTGTTTTATTTCTTTGGTTTGTTAAAGTGGATCAGTCCACTTCTTATGGTAAGTTTGTGCATGAAACAGGAATGAGAAAATGAACATTTTGCTTATTCCTTCATTACAGCTGCAGTGCTGTCACATGACAAAGCCTCCCCTATTGCAGAAACAGAACTCTGGCATAAATATTCAGATCAATGCATGTGAATTTTGATGATTTACAGCAGTGTTTCCTAAGCCGCTCCTTGGGGAACCACAGACGGTCCACGTTTTTGCTCCCTCCCTATCACTGGGTGCTGAGAGGGAGCAAAAACATGAACTGTCTGTGGGTCCCCGAGGACCGGACTGGGAAACATGGATTTACAAGGACGATTCAGCCTTTGTCATCCAAAGCTGAGCCTCCTGAAATTATCGACATTTGTGTGTGTTTTTTTGTTGTCGTTTATTCTCTAAATGTCTTCATTCTGCACATCAGAACGAGCTCTGAAAGGACATTTGCTTTCATGCAATTTTGCGAGCTCTGATTAAAGCGATTGTTTCAAGTAAAGCATGATGGCCGTGGGACAAAGACTGCATGATGACACATACAGGAGCCTTTCGAGGTCACTGCTGTATCTCAGGAATACAGTTGGATTCGACAGACAGCTTCCATGCAGCCTGGTGGTATCCCAAGACACATCCTTTAACATCTACTTCAAAACAGAGATATCACCTCGACAGGGACATTAATCCACAAGATTGGTGGAAAATATGCTTCTCTTTCAATGAGAGCATTAGATAGAGTGACCCTTGCCAAGAAGGCTGTGCACAGCAATTGAGTGCCGCGTCGTCTTCTAATCCAACAAGCCAGCTACTCTGGCCTCTAATTAACGGCTTGAAGATCCCTTGGTTTCAGGAAGCTTTCTTCCATAGCTTTTCAGTGGGGAGCTCAGCATAATGGTATTTCTTAGAGAGATAAGCTCTGTTTGCAATAAAGACCTGTCATCTACCGCAATCGGCAGCATAATAATAATAACGGATGGATTGCGTTTACACAGAGCTTTTCTCACACTCAAAGCACTTTGCCTTGTTTGTGGGGAGTGACCGAGTCCCTCCCCCACCGCCGTGCGGCACCCACAAGGGTGAGGCATGGCACCCATTTCCCAGAATACTCACCACACGTCAGCTTTTTGGGGGACTGAGGTAAGGAACTATTTAAGACAATTAATAAGATGGATTAAGGAACCTCGTTGGAGATTCACATGGCTAGAGGATTAAAGTGTCACTCCAGTTTCTGCCATTATATGGTATTTCTACAGTATCTGTATATACAAGAAATACTACTACAGTATGTTTGAGAAATGTGATCGATATTATGTCGTGGAGCCACTCGATGAGAACATTGCCCGTCTGTTCAAGGCTTGCTGGGTTTTTGTGTAAATACAGTGAATTTTGATTCAGTATCCCGCACTGTGTGATCTGCATAGATAGCTGGACCTGTCATTAAATAATTGTTATTGTGATAACACAATTGATGACTATCCATGCCTCTCTTGATGTGCGATTGTTGTTCGCAAGGCAACAATCATCCCCCATCTCATCCAAAACTTTTTATTTTTTAACGGAGTCAGATCTCTAAATAACATGTTTGTCTGTCACATGTGTTTTGCACCAAAAGTCACATATAGAACTTATTGGAATTTTTCTAAATTTATTGTGCTGAAACCAGGAGCCAACACACAGTCATTCTGTAAGTATTCTTTCATGACTCCTGTTGCAGACCATTAGGCTGTATTCTGTAGCTAAACACCAATACAGAAATGCTTTTTATTTAGAAAAAGGTCTGAGTTTGTGGATATAGTTGGGCCAGTTTAATCTGACAGTGCAGTCAGAGGTGAGACAGTGAGACATCCCTGAAATTATTATGATTCCTGGAAATGCAGCCTTAAAACAAAGACGGAACTTTCAAATAGTTTTGGCAATCTTTGTTGTTAAAAGTGGAACAAATTATTTAAATTACTGTTTGAAATACTGGAGTGACACTTTAATGACATGAACGCTGTGGTGATGGTGTTTTATTGGCTGTCACATGATCAGTATGTGTAGGGTTGACTGGTACGTATTTTCATTTTCTGTAGCTTACAGTTATAGGTACATTTTCCATGTTTTTCTATGTAGTTGTAATGAATTTTAGGCTGGGGATTTAAAGTCCGTGGATTTTCAGAGGAGGAAATTTTCCATGGAAATTTATGGGAATTTTCAGGGATTTTCTGAAATTTGGACATTATTGAAAAATTAATATTTTCCTGTGTGTGTGCAGTTGTCAAACATACAAACACTAAGTGTACTAATAAGAGGTTGTGAAGACACTGAGATTTAACATAACACCTTAATGAACATTTACTTTGTTAACATCATCGAACAGAAACACGTGACGCGAGGCATGAAGATTTATGATGAATTCTCAGTTGCGCTCAGAGACAGCGGCTGTTGGGATGATTTGTGAGATTATCGCTGCAGTCGTTAATAGGGCCTCGGAGGAACAAAGTTCCCTACAGCCGAAGGATTCTGAGTTATGTCATGACAGGATAAACTTCACTAAAACATCAACAACATGAATTAGCTCACAAGATTGGTAGCTAACTGGTAAGATAGCTAAGTTAGCCTAGCTCTTACATTAACCTGTTGGATGGATTATTTGAGGAGTGGTTGATTACTTTTCTGAACATTATGTGTTCACTTTTACAGTTTAATTTTATAACAATTATAACAATAACAGAAATATGATCTTTCTACAGCTTGGTCTTTCACCTCATCTTCTGTAAACTCTAACATGTGCATGTAAGCAGTAAGAAGTAGAAACCAAAAGTATCTGCGAAACCATGATCTCCAAAATGATAACCAGTTGGTGGTGCATAATAATTTCCCTAAATTTCTGTGCTGAAATTTCCATGGAAACTTTCCAGGAATTTTCCACTCCTTTGCAACTCTATTTTGGCCTGTCCTAGAACAGATGCATTTTGGGATAACACAGTAACCCTACAACTTGTAAGGCAGACTTTGGAGGGGTGGTTGATAACTGGTGGTTATTTCATGATGACATTGTTTTTTCTACCCTTCCTGCTCTCTGGCTCTGCAGTAGCACCTGCTTCATACATACTGTACTGTATGTGTGAAGCGATTGACACGACATATTGGCTGCACATGCCCCAGTGCAGGCTGGGTAAAAGCAAGGCCCTATGCTTCTCGCCGCAGGGACCGTTGCCATGGACCTCCAGAACACGAACCCGCCCGACAGCAGCAGCAGCAAGCTGGCCCTCCCTGCCGAGAACGGGTCCGGTAGCCGTCGGCCCAGCATCGCACCGGTCCTGGAGATTGCAGACTCTGCTGCGATCCTGCCGTGTGACCTACTCGGGGACCAATCGGAGGATGAGACAACCCAGTCTGATGACGAAGGCTCCCTGGGCTCTGAGTGAGTTTCTAACTTGGCTCTGTGAATGGGGACAACCGGGGCAGGTGAAAAACGGAACATACACAGCACTGGGTGGGCCTGTAACTTCAGTAAGTTGTTCCAGTGGGTGATTCATCATTCATTTCATGCTCAGTTTAAGCACTCTTCAAATGGTTTTTATCGGTGCATGGGAAGGCAAAGACCAGTTCTGATGTGGGTAGCTAAATAAGCTGATTAAGAGGTGGATCAGTCCAGTTATCCTGTTTATGTTATAGCATGCAGACAGAATGCAGTGTCAGAAAGGACTACTACTTGGTTTAGGCAATGAAACAGGTGCTTGGCTATATAGCTCATGTTCCTGCTCGATGCAGAAATCCCTGTCCACTTATACGCCTTAAATAATTTATGATGGTAGTTATTTATAGTGAACAATTTAGTGCTTGGCTTCAGAATGTAGTGGCAGATGAAAAGCCTTAACGATTCCTAAAATCCATCCACGCACGTATGTTTAAAGATCGCTTAACGCAGTGCCTGTCCCTGGAAACAGAGGGTACCGGGCAGGGTGCAGGATGCAAGGACCATGCATTTATCACCGAGCAATCAGACACCCCAGGCTAGCGGTTCACACTTGGTAGAACTTGGGGGAACACGCAGCGCTGTGCAGAGCTGGGGTTGGATTCAAGTGTGTGACACGAGAGGCATGAGGCTGCAGCATTGCCCACCATCCATAATGCCACCTTGCTGCCAAAATGTCATCCCAAATTCATGCCCTTTGCTTTAATTCTGTTTCCTTCCTCAGGGGACAGCAGTTGGGACAATTTATCTTAATTTTCAGGGTTTTTAGTACTCCGTGCAGTTACATAATGCTCTCACAAGCACTAAAGTGCCACACTGAGTGCAGAAGCACTTCCCTTGATCACTGATCCATTTGGACCACTATATAAAGACATGTTCTTAGATTCCCAACCAGTAATTATGAAATGTCACAGAGCGAGCAAGCAGTCACAGCCCATCATGTTTGCCATGCCACATATCTGGCAGAGGGGGTATAATTGTTGCATATGAACATACGCGGTGACTAACTTTGTTTAGTGAGGCACTTAGTACTCCAGAGATTTGAATACATGGCACAAGCTCTGACGTATGCAGTGTGCCGATGCCGTTCTATTCCTAGTTCCATTTCAGCATTGCAGAATAACAAAAGAACAGCACAATAATGGTGTTTTATTCTTTTTGGCCTTTACAGTCATAACTCCAACCTGCAAATAATTATTATATTGGATTCCAGTTCAGAAAAAAAAACATCTGACTCTTGACAGCTGTAGCCTGCGTTGTATTTATCTGCCTGACTTGTATTCTAAATAAATAAATATGAATGTAAATGATTCAGCACTTCTGAAAAAGTGAAATATTAATGATTCAAGTCACAAGCTAAAAGAAATGTTTGAATTCCCATGTCATATCTTGATTTGTGGGTGTGCTGTATGATTTATTTCATTCTTTTGTGATTTGTGTACTCTAGCTTTTCTCCAGTTTTCCGCTACAGTCTTAGCTCGGACATGCATGATAACATACTTGAGGGTCATTGTGTGCTTGCATTGCTGGAGTTATAGTTGGACACCTTGTTCCAGAAGAAGCACACATTGTTCACTTCCCCAACTCCATGCCATTTTCCATTGTCTGCCCTCAGTACTCAACTGGAAAATAATTTGTAAGGCCATTTAGCCATTGTGTTGTTTGTCCTGCATGAGTTATGGATCTCTGTACTGGAATACCTGTGCTTCTGCTTTCTAATTGGGTAAGAGGCACAACATCCTGAATCTAAAGAGGAAGTGTGGTCAATGAGAAGCACAGTATTTCAGTTTAAAGCTACCTTAAATATTTTCAGATTCAAATTTTTCAGATACAAATTCATCTGGAGTTTCCAAATTGGATAGGGGGTGTATATACATCATAGGACATTGTGACCACCCTCATGAATAAACCATGAATAAGCCAACTATCTTGTAAAAACAGCACCTGTCAAGGTCTGGGGTATATTAGATGGTAAGCCGACATTTGGTACCTGTAGTCAATGTGTTTAGTGCCAAGAGAAGGGTTACTGTGGCATAAATCACAAATCATTTTAATGATGGTTATGGGAGTGACGTGTGACACCGTGCAGCTCATGGAGCTCTGCTGTGTTTGGTGCTACGTAGCTGTGGATCGTACGTGTCAGTCCAACGCATCCCACAGATGCTCGACACGCACCCAACCGTCCACATTATGCAACAGATAATGGGAGCCACCGGCCCAAGTGACCTTCTTCCGTTGCGCCAAGGTTCGGTCGGTGCCCATTATAAGTGTTTTGGATGGTGAACAGAGATCAGCATGGCCACTCTGACTGCCCTGCGGCTAAACAACCTCATGCGCAGCAGGGTTGGATGCCCCGTGTGTCATGACACATTAATCCTGAGATCATTATCAAAATTATCTGCCATTTGTGCCCTTCTGTTGGTTCATCCCACACAGGATAGCCTTCATTCGCATCTCGCATTGATGAGTCTTGGCTGTCCAGCACTCTTAGCCGTTTGTGGTGTTTCCATCCCGCTCTCACTGCTCTCACCGCTCTCTCTGACCATGAGCACCTCACAAGCCTTGCCGTGTTGGAGATGCTCGGACCTAGTTGAGTGGCCAAAATGATTTGGTCCTTGTCAAATTCACTCAGATCATTATCGCTGCCCATTTCTCATGCTTTCAAGATATTGACTACGATTACCGAATGTTAGCTTACCGTCCAATATATCCCAGTCCTTAACACGCACCATTTTTACAAAATAGTCAACATTATTTGCTTTAGTTGGCAGTGGTCATCGGTTCATATTCAACTGTGAAGGAAAAGGCTGCCCTGAACAGGAGGCTGGAATCACACAAAGGCTTTTATAACGGGAAAGAACCCAAACAAAGATATTTTAAGGAGAAATATGTGCCGGAAAGCCTCAAAATCAGAAACATATACAGGAAAAATAAACCTAAGTACAACATACTCTTCTCAGGAAGACCAAGACCATTGCATTTAAAAATGGGCCCCAGCGGGACCCCATGTACACCCGCGTGAAGCAGATATTCCTGTCAGGGTGGGCAGTTTGGGAGCTGTTGATTATTTGCCATAGAGACAGCAAAACTAAAAGGGATATTAAGAAAATAACAATGCTTTAGATTAATGACATTGTTGATATATGTTAAATGGTAAGCACTACTAAGCACAACTGTTTGATCACAATTGATTTATTTTGTTACTTAGTTTATCACTTTCTTATTTTTCCTTAATGTGAAACATTCATCTATCCGTTCATCTTCCAGGCTCACAGCCAGTACAGGGCTGTTGTGAAGCTTTGTGATTTCTATAACAGAGTAACTACAGCCACATTTCCTCCGACACAGAGCTACCCCCGCACTGCTTTGCCCTCTTTTTCTTCCTCAGGTATGTCAAAGGGTACCCCCCCAATTCCCCCTACATCGGGAGTTCCCCCACCCTGTGCCACCTGCTGCTCTGCAAAGCCCCGTTCTGCTGCCTTAGGTTGGACAAGGTATGGGAGCTGATACCATTTTCTGGAATGATCCTCGCTTCTTCTCTTTTGATTGGCTTGGCTGCATTGATTCACTTCTTCTCTTTTGATTGGCTCTGCTACATCGACTCACTTCACTTTTGACTGGATCTGCTACATTGACTCTCTTCTCTTTTGATGTAGCTGAGCCAAATCAAAAAGGAAATGAGTCAATGTAGCAGCACCAATCAAAAGAAAGGAAGCGAGTCAATGCAGCAGAGCCAATTGACTGACTTGTTCTCTTTTGATTGGCGCTGCTACATTGACTCGCTTCTTCTCTGTTGATTGACTCTCCCACATTGACTCGCTTCCTTTCTTTTGATTGGTTCTGCTACATTGACTCACTTCTCTTTTGTCATATTATCTACTTCATTCTTGCTTGGTAATTACGACTCATAGGGGCTCGTTACTACACAGGCAAGAAATCCTTTGGTTCGTGTCAATCCGGTTATAAAACACTGGCTATGATGTATGTGGTGCAGAAGGCCGTGACGGGATGATGCCATTTCCGTGTCGCAAGACTGACTGCTGTCTTGATCTTTCCCTTCTTTTTGTTACGCACCCAGGGCTGCAAGCACAATAGTTTTGAAGATGCCAAAGCCTATGGCTTTAAGAACAAGCTGATCATCGTGTCCGCCGAGACGGCAGGGAATGGACTGTACAACTTCATTGTCCCCCTCCGCGCTTACTACCGGCCCAGGAAGGAGCTCAACCCCATCGTCCTGCTCCTGGACAACCCGTGAGTTACACGGCTCCATGCTAGAAGTTGCCGTATAGCGCTGTAATTAAGCAATCGGCATCATCATGTAACTCGTTACATCGATTTGGTCACTCGATTTAGTGTAGCTCCTCCCCTCACTGCCTATAGCCTGTGTGAAAAAGTGATTCAATTTCACACAAGGGTGTTTGTGCAAGGTGCCCTTACCAGGCTGAGCAATTTAAATTCATGGGCACAATGAGCATTAGCTTTCCTTGCTCTTTGCGTGATTTGTTGATATGTTTATTCCATTTTGTGATGCTCCTGTGCACTATTAAAAAGTGCTCAGGCACTTCTCGGAGTGTGCAGCTCTGTGATTGACTGTTATTCAGGGAGAGAGTGCCTGCGTAATTATGTGCCTTTCCCAGCTTAGAGCCAGACTGAAACGGAACAGGTTGGTTTAGAGCCGCAAGCGCGGCCATAACTCCGCATGAATTCACCGCGGATTTCATCATCATTTAACGGCAATAGCTGGGGGAGCCACGGCAAGTAAAGACTGGGGAAATGTGCCACCATGGTGTGAGGTCAGAGCCCTTCCCTTTGGGGGTGCTACAAGGCAGTTTTGTTGTAAGTGAAGTTGAACAGAGAGGCAGAATCTGTGCTGTGTAGCTGCAGAAGCTTTCCATGCTAATGGTGGAATCCTTGCATCGTTTACGTTAAGATGGAGTTTAGAGGAGGCACTGGGTTCGACTCATCCAGACCAAGCTTCCATGTTACGAAAAGTATCATTTTTGGTGCACTCCTGGTGCAGCTATTTACACTTATTTATGTTGCTGAAGGGAGCAACTGCAGGTTGGCTTCTTGGGATGTGAACTAGCAACGTTACGTTTCTTTAACCACATGTCCACCAGGGTCTGCAGGATGATTCTCTTCCCCCTCACACAGAACAAGAGATACTCACTGAAGCAGGCAGCCCAGTCAGTGTGGTTTAAAACCGACAGTTTGGGATATAGCCGTTAGCTTAGCTTAGCTTGCCATAGATTTAGCTCGTCTGAACTGCTTCCAAAGAAACGTAGACCTGCAGCACAGTTGAGCGAATGGTGAAGCAAATTAACCATGTAGTTTTAGATCACAGTGCAGTAGCAAGGAATATGCTTTACTGGTTGGTCTCTTCATGGATTTACAAGGCAATAAAGAAGATGGGCTTTTCTCTTCCTTTTTCAATCATCCCTTACATCACCATTGAACATTACAGCCTATTTCTATGACTCTAGTCTATAAGAGCTGACAAACACTGCTTCAGAAAAGTTAATGATTTTCTGAGCTGTCGTAGTTTTTTTACATCACTGTCCAGCCTCATGGTCTTTTGTCCTTGTTGAAGCATTTTTATAATTAACATTGAACGTCCTGTACTCAGCTTAATATTTTACGTTCGTGCATAGACTGGTAAATAATAAACACTGAATACACAAAAAAAAAAAATTGTTTTGGGCATCCTGCCATGTTTAAAGGTAGCTGCAAAAGGCATTTGAAGCCTGTTGCACTTATTGGAAAAGAGGAATGTATTTTGAGCTTGACAGGGTGTCTGAGTAAAAGTACCTTTTCCAAGCGACCCACATGCCTCAGACCACAGACTGAGTCACGGCTGTGTCATCCGCTGGATTGATCGTGGCTACAGGCTATAATCAGGGTTTTCCGGTGGAGAAAACAGGGGGGCCTGAATCCGCTGCAGCGTCTAGGCCGCCGCCGGTAATGTGTCGGGTTCCTGCGGCCGACGGCTGCCTGGGTGGAGAGTCCTTGAATCAACACCGGTTCTGCTGTGCTTGGCTGAGCAGGTGGCCGCGCCAAACAGCCGATCGTGTCGAGCATCCAAAGCGGACAGGATGCAGCTCCATTTGAGGAGTGCTTACATATCTGAGCAGGTGGACGCATGTACATGTTTAATAGGGTCCTAATTATAAACCTAATGGAGACACAGTATATTAAAACACTTACTGTAAATGTACAGTGTACACCATGATGCAGTAGAATATTGTATGGTCAATTTCAAAACAAACTAGATAATATTATCTTCGTATTGTATTCAGTAAAGTGTTTGTAATATATTTTCACCTCTGGAGGAGGGACAGCATTCCTTACCTTAAAATTGCCCCACAATTTGAAAATGCACATCATGACAGCCTTGATAATTATGCACGGTTACTGAATTTTGTATTGACGAGCAAATTGATATAGCTACTGTGTATACAGTAATTAATTCTGTAGGTGGCACTCTCACTCTGTGGGCAGCACTGTCACTTGGGGGGCAGCAGTGTCACTTTGTAGGGGGCACTGCCACATGGTGGGCGGCACTGCCACATGGTGGGTGGCACTGCCACTTGTTGGGCGGCACTGTCACTTTGTAGGAGGCACTGTCACTTGTGGGCTGCAGTGTCACTAGGTGGGGCAGCACTGTCACTTTATGAGCGGCACCACCACTTTGTGGACAACGGCACTGTCACTTTGTGGGCAGCACTGCCACTTCATGGGCAGTGGCACTATCAATTTGTGTGTGGGACTGTCACTTTGCGGGCAGCAGTATTACCTCACACAGCCAGAGGTGGAGATGTGATTCCCGCTTTTGATCTGTGTGTCGGGAGTTTGCTCTCGCTGTGCTGCCGGGATTGCTCCGGGTACTGCAGCTTCCTGCTGAGGCCAAAGGCGTGTAGTTAGGTGGATTTGTATCCTTAAAATGCCTGTGGTTTGCGTGTATCCCATCCCTTATGTCCATACTGTCTTAGACGGGCTCTAGGGCTCCCAATTCCCCTGCTCAAGATAAGGGAAAGATTAATGGGATGCTTACTACTGATGGTCTTATCGTCTGAAGGTTGCTTATGTCTGAAGGTATATAATGGTGAGATATAAATTCAGTGGCACATGAATATGACATAATGATCAGCAATGAACTCATTTCTTTCTCTCTCTTGTAGGCCAGATAATCACTTCCTGGAAGCCATCTGCTGTTTTCCAATGGTTTACTTCATGGCGGGAACCATTGACAAGTATGTTACACCCTGATAACCTGGCTACATGTGTGGTACTGAATGACTCGTGCTTCTGTTCCTCTGTGTTGTGGGGAGCTTTAGATGTTTTAGGGGAATTGATAGTATAATTCAAATTCACTCTGCATGTGTGACAGAGGCCAGAAAGAGCGGTCTGCCTCTCAGGGGGGGTCTCTTTCGTTTGCCTTTGGATAAATAGTACATCTGTTTTGTGTGTTGTTCAATTTTCCCATTAAATCCTGAGGGTCCCAATAAATTCAGTTTGAAGTGTGAACCATGAGAAAACTCAACGTTTTTACAATTACATGTGAAATTGGCTACCAGGATCCGCGAAGGAGCAAAAACATGGACTGTCTGGGGGTCCCGGGGACTGGGGTGGCAAACTCTGATATAGACCATTTGTGATCATATCTTTACCCATCCAACCGTGCATTTATCTTCAGGCAGTATACATGCCTTCTGGGTGGGGTGGACTACACATACATGGCTGTGGGACCTTCAACCTTTTTTAAAAGCTCAGCATCCTCCTATCTTGTTGTTCCCCTCCCTCCCCCCCAGCCTGGATAACCTGCTCCAGTGTGGCATCATCTACGCCGACAACCTGGTGGTGGTGGACAAGGAGAGCACCATGAGTGCCGAGGAAGACTATATGGCAGACGCCAAGACCATCGTCAACGTGCAGACCATGTTCAGGTGAAAGCAGGCCTCCTGCCCGCCCCCGCACCCCCCAGGCTCTGCCTACACGCAGGCAGGCTTCTCCCACGGCCTAGTGGAGCGTTTGGAGCGTGCAGCCCTGATGATTCACGCGCTTTGCAGGTCCAGGCTGGGCACAGCAGCCAGGGAGTCGACAGGCGTGACGAAAGGCAGCAAAAACAAAATTATCTTCCCGTACGTTTTAGCATTTTTTTTCCCTTCATGTTGCAACAGCTGAAAAAGTTAATAGATTAGGGAAAAAAAGACCTTAATGCAGAAATGCTACAGTTTATACAAAGGAGAGACCAAAGATAGCTGATGGTGAGGGTAACTGGAGACATTTCAGTGTCCAGGCTACACTGTGCTCTGCTTTGTTTGAATGTTAATGTAGCATCTTGAAAGGACTCATTTATTACAATGACTTTACTTAGTAATTCTTTTATCCAAAGCAACGTACAATTGAACGCAGGGTCAATCTGAACGCAGAGCGATTGGGTGTTAAGGGCCTTGGCCAAGCACCTCGCAGTGACATCATTCTCCCGACTCTAGGTTTCCAAGCAGCACCGGTCCGATCACAGGCACAGCACTGTAACCCACTGAGTGACATACTGGCCCCTATTTGTTTAAACAAGAATGTCCCAAGACACCTTCTTAATAGGTAGCGTCTCTTATTAGCAGAATGGCCTTTTTAATGCGTCTTCCTTTGTCGCTTCCTGTCCTCTGCAGACTGTTCCCCAGCCTCAGCATCATCACTGAGCTCACGCACCCCTCCAACATGCGCTTCATGCAGTTCCGTGCCAAGGACTGCTACTCCCTGGCTCTATCCAGGCTGGAGAAGGTGAGAGGAACCAGACTAATCAAGTCCCATTCTGCAGCACTAGACTGGGGACCACCCACAGCCCAATGCTGTTCTCCTCTCTTGTTCCCCTTTAGAAAGAGCGTGACAAGGGCTCGAACCTGGCCTTCATGTTCCGGCTGCCGTTCGCCGCAGGCCGGGTGTTCAGCATCAGCATGCTCGACACGCTGCTCTACCAGGTGATCTCTGCCAGATTCTGCTCAGCTCTGAACCCAGAGCGCAGAGTAATGAGGGTTAATGCCGAGATGAATTACCGCCCAGCACCGGTGCCACTGAAGTGCAGCCACTGATCGGCCGTCTGTTTGCAGGGCTCACCTTAACCTTACCGTGCTCAGGCTCTGCAACAGTCATCAAATCCAATACTATATAAATAGATAGATAGATAGAGATAGAGATACTTTATTTATCCCGAAGGAAATTTGCTACTAATTTGCTAAATGCTACTTTTTTTGAAAATACTAAATCAGCAATCAGATCCCCTGATTTGGTAAATAGACCATTCATCTCAGGTTAAGGGCTGCAAACGAGGCGACTTCTATTGGATAAAACTTTTCTTCTCTACATATAGTTACAAACTGTCTGTGAAAAATCTACTTCTATTGTAACCCACTTTTTCTTACTATAATAACTGAAAATTGTCTGTTCTTGAAAATGATTACACCCACAGATTTCTCTGTGACACAGTCCTGTTCATTTAATGCATTAGTGCGCTACATTTAAAATTAATTAGCTAAATGGAAACTGTGGATCTCAACAAGAGCTTTTGGAGAGCATGAAAAGCCTCCAAACTGCCGATCAATCCCTCCTTATTAACACTGCAAAGATCAAACTCTGTGATCTGTCAGCTGAACCACTCTGGCATCACCTTTCTGTGAAGATAATTAATTTCATCATGCAATCACACCCGTAATTAAATCAGTATTCTCCTCTCACATTTTATATGAAGATCAACAGTGCCCTCTAGAGCTTGGTTTGTGTACTACACTGAAATATGCAAACTGCATCTGTCTGGTCGTATGTTTAAATCATTACATTTATTCCCAAGCAATGTGCATGGAAGGCAGTAGAATAAACATGCTTCTTTCTCTTGGCCAACAGTCCTTTGTGAAAGACTACATGATCCCAATTGCACGGCTGCTCTTAGGCCTGGATACCACACCTGGCTCAGGATACCTGTGTGCTGTAAGTAGAGTCTTCGGTACCATGATACATAAAACCATCATATGCACATAACTACATTTACACATCCATGCAACATGTATGACACATTCACCTATGGAGTTGCTCTGTTGTTATCTAGATGAAAATTTCAGAAGAGGATCTCTGGATCCGAACATACGGACGGCTGTTTCAGAAGCTTTGCTCCTCCAGCGCAGAGATCCCCATCGGGATCTACCGGACTGAGTCGCATATATTCTCCTCCTCAGAGGTAAGGTCGCGGTGAGGAAGAAATCACTCAGCAGGTCACCCATCCAGCTCCCCGAACACATGCTCAAAACAGTTGCAGTGCAACCAAAGTCTCAAAACGCATTTTTTGACCTTGCTGGAAGGTAATCAAGTTCAGCTGATGAATAGTTGTAGCAAGACATCATTCTGAGGTGAATAGTAAATGAGTTAGTCGACATTTTAGTAGAATTTATTAGTCGTTTTGCCCATTTATTTACCTTAATTAGCTCTAAACCAAATTCCGAATCCATCAACTCCCACGTGGACTTCTTGGCTGTTGATCATGCCATGTCCCTGGAACTCAGTTGACGTGCTGCGTGTCTCTGATGACGTAAGTTGTCTCATTGACTGATGGCCTCTGAGTCCCAGCTACAGAGCTACTGTTTCTCATTACATAACTATTGTTCCTCATTATATGGCTACTGGTCCTCATTATAAAGCTACTGCTCCTCATATAGATACTATAAAGCCAGTGATCCTCATTATATGGCTACTGGTTCTCATTATAAAGCTATTGTTCCTCATAATATAACTGCTGTTCCTCATTATAAAGCCACAATTCCTCATTATAAAACTACTGTTCCTCATTATATAACTACTGTTCCTCATTATAAAGACACTGTTCCCCATTACATAGCTACTGGTCCTCATTTTAAAGCAGGGATTCTCAAACCTAATTTGAGATTACCTAATACAGATCTGTGGCCCGTACCAGTGGTTGAGGTTGAAAATCCCTGATATAAGGCACAAAGGTCTTTACTTAGCCCTTAAACTTGTGTCTCCAGTTAAAAGCATCCTTACAATTTTCACATTTTTCCTGAAACTCTGTAAAAAAAAAGGATGTTGAGTGTTTACAGGGTGATTTTGTCATTATCTCTCTGCATAGTCTCCAGCTGCGCCCTGCGTATCGCATACCCATACTTTGGATTACTCCTGTTTGAAGACCCTAAAGCCGTGTTTCCCAACCCAGTCCTCGGGTAGCCACCGATGGGCCGTGTTTCTGCTCCCTCCCCGCAAAAAACATGGACTGTCTGGGTCCCTGAGGACTGGATTGGGGAACAGTGCCCTAGAGCGATACACTTTGCTCACATTTGTAGTTGTTTGATTGAACAAGGTGATGGTTTAAGTTGCCTTAGCTAAAGAGAAGCTGAACTGCACTGGCAGTGCCCAGTCATCCTGAATCACTCCTGAAGCACGTACTGCAATCCTCAGCGACACCATGAGCCTCATCCACCAATAATTTCCTTCATCATTCATCACCTCCTCCCGTCTGTAATGAACACCTGTGCCTTGGGGGCAGGTGTGCCGTAACATCTTTTTGATTGTATTTACACTGCAGAAGATTACTACATTTTGCAGGTTATTTTTGGAAGAGCTAGTTTTTCAACCACTATCCCCAAAAGACTTATATCTCACAGTCGGTCATCTGTGGGGCCACAAACAGACGTCTTATTCCTTCTTGATGGAAGCGATTTAGCAGTGCCTCAGCAAATGTGGATCACATTTTTACGACATTATCAAACTGCTACAGAGATTATCTTGGGTCTTGGTAATTATATAAAGCAGTAGCTGCCTGTCTTGTTTAATAAGATTAAATACCTGGCTTCTGCTGCACCCCAGTCGCTCAACTATCACCACACTTTTCACCCTTTTATTGCTGCCACGGTGTATCTGTGTTTAACCTGCTCCCATAATGCACTGCCTCAGGCTGATCTTGCTCATGCCCACTCATACATAATGCTTAGCTTCCTCATCTTTAAGTCATAATAAGCAATTTTAAGTCAATTAAGCAATTTTATGGTGAATACTGCATGCTTCAGTGGTTGATTTCACCCACAAGATGCTCATTAACACCAATCGTATAATACCATCCAATCCAAGCATTCACCTAATACTCATGAGATTTCAGTAATTAGAGTTCCAGGACAAGTTTCCCAGAGTATTGCCCCCCCCCCATTTATTTATTAGATGTTGGGGTCACTGTGGCTTCACAATGTCTTGGTTTGTGGGTTTCCTCCTGTAGTCTAAACACATGGGGTGTTTCTCAATATGCATGGTAGATTGTACTTGTGTTCACATGTGTCCATTTTACATCATCTTCCTTTGCCGAAGACCCGTTCCAATACTAAGAACGGAAGTACAGAGGATGGTTAAAATCCTCAGATGTTGTTCTTGCCACGCCACAAATGTCAAGGATACATGAGTGGCATCGTTGCCAAACAAGACCAATCCTTGGTCATGTGATGGACTGGCATCCAATCCCAGTGTCCCATACCACATGCACTGTGCTGCTTAGGATAGGCTCCAGACTGACTGTGATCCTGTACTGGATATGCAGTTAGGGAAAATGGAAGGGTATGTTCATTATCTACCAAATCTAATTACACACACACACACACACACACACACATATATATATATATATATATATATATGGTCTAATAGCTCTTGGTTTACATTACCCTGCAGGTTTGTTCGTTAAGAATCATTTTTCCCTTTGATAGATCACAACAAGAGCAGCCGCCGCGGCTACAAACAGCACATCAGACTCTGCCATTAAACTTCTCTGCAGGCAGAATTCTGATGCACTCTTTCTGCAGAAATGTTCACATAATAAAATCTAACCTTCCTCCAGCCACTTAACCCATGCAGGACTGCATGGGAGCCTATTCCAAGGGGTGCATGCTGTAGGGGATGTGACATATATGGGAGGACACATACAGGGGATGTGACATATAGGGATGTGATATATAGGGCATGTGACATATAGGGGATGTGATATAAAGGGGATGTGATATATACGGGAGGACACATACAGGGGATGTGACATATAGGGATGTGATATATAAGGCATGTGACATACTGTATAGGGGATGTGACATAGGGGATGTCACATATAGGAGATGTGATATATAGGGGATGTCACATATAGGGGAGGGCACATATACCAGGAGCAGGTCAGAGACGCCAGTTAGCCCGACTGTGAACACAGCTAGCTGAGGAAACATTCAAACCCCACACAAAGAGTGGGGGCAGGATTCCCACACCCAACCCTGGAGGTGTGAGACAGCAGTGTCGCCCACTGAGCTGCCGTGTCATGATGCACACGCATTACATTACAAGCAAAATGGCACCCTTTGGAATACCTACATTCTACAAACACACCATCAATGCAAACACATTACATTACGAGCAAAATGGCACCTTTTTGAACACCTACATTCCTCAAATACAAGTTCATCAATACACAGTCTTCAGCCCCTTTATCTGGGCTGCCGGCTCTCACACTCACGCAAGAAATCTTACAGCAAATTTATATTATTCCATTAAAAATCTAAAATTAGCTACATAAAATGCGTTGGGGTAGTTTGCAAACCCTACAGACTATTTACACGGTATTAGAACTGTTACATACATGTAAATGCGTGTGCACGTGTGTGCAGACTTGTCTCGAATTAAAAATCTCACTCCAGCCAGCTGAGCAAAGTTGGCAGCCCTGCTTTATCACTTTTTGTGGGTGTTTGCTGTCTGCCAGTACACACCTGACACGATCCCCCAGGAACAACAAGCTGATGACATGAATACAGGCAGAATTTACCTGCAGAATTTACCTACTTGACAGAAATTCTTATATCACCTCTGAAATGTACGGTGATAAATGTACCTGCTCAAAAGACCTGGTGACAGCTGTATATAGCATAGCTTTGCTCCCTGTCACCTCTCGTATGAGCCAATTTGATGGCAGCACACTATACAGGGGCGGGGAACAGGACCCAGCTCAAAGCTGATTGGCTCCCAGAGTACCCTCTCCCCGGTCACTCTCCACTTCAAGACATTTCATTGGTTGGTGCCTCTGTATAAATTATGGTCCCTCTTATACCCCACACTTTAATAAAATCCTAGAATCGCCCCTGCCCTTCAGGGAGACAAGGCTCAAGAAGTCCTTCAAGACTTGCACCCACTTTAAATGAACAAATTGCCCTCTAAACTGTTGTTGAACCAGGGGAAGGTCACAGTTATTCCTGGCTTCTTTGGATGCGCAGTCAGGTGTGTTGTGGGGATTGTTCCTGCTCGCAGGTGTCCATTAACGTGGACGAGCGTGAGGATGCCAAGGAGCGGCACGAGTCCTGGAAGGAGAAGGGCACCCACCGGAACTCGACGGGCAGCGACCAGTCGGAGCACCCTCTGCTGCGGAAGAAGAGCATGCAGTGGGCGCGGCGCCTGAGCCGCAGGAATCCCAAGCCGGGGAGCCGTGCCGAGCGCATCACGCAGCAGCGGCTCAACCTGTACCGGCGCTCGGAGCGGCAGGAGCTCTCTGAGCTGGTCAAGAACCGTATGAAGCACCTGGGGCTGCCCACCAACGGATACGGTGAGCTGGACCGTGCCGGGCTGGACTGTGCCAGGGCCGGATGCCCTCTGCCCTCTGTACGCCTCACACGTTTCCCGTAACAGTAGAGCAAGATAATGGGATATCGACCAAAGCATGTTTTTTTGGCATTATGATGTCACAGTGATTTAGGCCATTATTTCCCAATCCGGTCCTCAGGGACCCCTAGGCAGTCCACATTTTTGCTCCCTCTGAGCTCCCTGCCAGACAGTCCACATTTTTGCTCCTCCTCCCAGGAGCTAGGAGAGAGCAAAAACGTGGACTCTCTGTGGGCCGCTGAGGACCAGATTGGGAAACACTGATTTTGACAAAAAGGAGATGCTTTTTTAGCATGAATCCTGTAAAATAAGTACAGTTGAACCCTCTTTACAACATGCATACTTTTCATTTACATGAATTCCAAATTCAGATGCTACATTGTTTTGAAGAGAAATACTCAGATATCGAGGAGTTCTTTTTGGCCATCTACCAACTGTGTATTTCCAGGATGTTTTAATTAATCAGTGGGAGGAGGAAGGAACCTTTGAAATTTTGACTCCCAAGCTTGCTTACTAACCACTGCTTCTCCAACATTTACTGCTCCTGTTTGTTCAGGCTTTCGCTGTCAATGTCTGCCTATATGTGGCTTCACATAACTTGTCCCATGATGTCATCTTCATACCGGCCGCACCGGTCAGGGTTAGGTTGGACCCCATCTCAGGTGCCATGGCACTAGACTAGGGAACACCCTGGATGGGATGCGTCTCATATTGTTGCTCTTTTTTGTGCAGTTGTTTGTGTTTCAACTGGTCCTAACGCCGTGGTGTTAAGCTGTGATTGTTTTTCCTGCTGTGCATATTAATGGTGGGTAGTGTTGACGGTTAGCGATCATAGACTAATTTCTTGCAACGGGTAACCAGATTTGTGTAATGACTTGCAAGATTTTAAAATAATTTTTAAAATGTCTTTAGAAGCAGTGCAATCATATTGCCCATATGAGCCCCAATATCTTTCATTGCATGGAATGTTTTGATAATGTTTTCCTGAACATAGTGGTTGATATGTGTATTGTTAGGAGCCCTGGTACCCCTATTGTTTTTATAGTATTGTTATTGTTATCCTTCCTGGTTCAGTACTATTCTGAGGTGTGCAGTGAGGTGTGCAGTGCCAGTGCATCCCCACACCTTTCTCGGTGTACTCCTGCACAGGACAGTCAGTTTTATCATGACTCAGGTGGTTCTGAAACACGCTGGACTGCAGCCTGTCAGAAACTGGGATTTCTACTTTACTCGACACCAATATGTCTAATGCTTTTTCGCCATTTTTTCCTCAGGGGACCCACAGACAGTCCACATTTTTGCTCCCTCCCAGCTCCCGGTAGGAGCAAAAACATGGACTGTCTGGGGTCCCCAAGCACCGGGTTGGGAAACACTGCTCTACACTGTTCCTTTTGCTGAAACTGCTGAAATCTGCTGCTTGCCTGACTTGCTTTTTCTCTTTCTTCCCCTCCCCCTGTTTGTCTATCCTTTGTTTTTTCTCTGCTGTCCGCAGAGGATGTAGCTAATTTAACTGCAAGCGATGTGATGAATCGGGTAAACCTAGGATATTTGCAAGGTAATTTTCCAACAGTACTGGAGCTGTATTCCGTAGGTAGCGTCGGTCGGATGAGTCCGCCGGCAGCTTTCCATTGGAATTCCACGATGGGAAGCAAAATGACAAAAAAACTGGATGCTCGATCCAGCTGGACTTGTCATTTTCGTCTGTAATCTAGCTGAGGGGTTCCCAGCCCGGCCCCTGGCGGACCGCTGTCCATTCAGCCATGGGGTTTGCCAAGGTTGGGGTTGGGGATCCCTGATCTGGCATTGCATTACCCTTCCAAGGTCAGAGCAATGAAAAGCAGAAACAGGACGTATCCCATATGCCCCTGTTGTGTAATCTCCTACAATATTCATGAGTATAAACTGGAATAAACACTGTGATTTATTTGACCTTTATTTCATGCATGTTAGTTGTTAGAACTCTTTATGTGACATTTGACTGCAGTGTTATGCATCCTGTAGAAAGTGTGGATGCTCTTGTTCCATTAATTTTCTAGTCCTTTTTCTAAGCCCTTGTAAATTTGTAGTATAACTTCCTGCATTCTGAACCCTGTAATCTATATATTAAGAGGTAGAAGGCTGTATCTTTAAAAAGCCTGTATGTTTAATTCTTAGTTGAACTCTTACTTCCATTTTATTACTTCCACTGAAACAGAGGAAAAGTCCCTTAAATAGGAGTAGAAATGGCCAATTTTTTGCTATATATTTACCATACAAAGAATAGGGAGAACAATATCCTCAAACAGGTATGAGAAGCAGCACAGTCATGGATTCTCAGGCTCCTTCAAGGGAAGAACGCTGTTATTCTGTAGAGCTCAAAATGTACAGTATTATTCATGGTGGATTTGGTGCATTAGAGTAGAATGCTAGAATCCCTGAATACACTTTGTATTCCACTGTTGTGATTTGCTTATCAAATTTAGCGTTAAATATGTTTATTATACCACAAAAACATTATACTTCACTTCAGAGTGATAGGTTTTAGTGTCTATTTGGGAATTCCCTGTGCTACACACACCTACTGTGTATTTCATGATGTTTTGTATCGTGTTTTTACTTGGAGACTGCTACCAGTCTGTTTGTTTCCAGAACACCCTACTTGTTATTTTGACACGGCTCTAATGAGCTGGAAGATTTCGAGGTCGGTAGCTGAGGGAACAAGACTTTAGCTTTTAATACTCTCTAGTCATCTTTTGGCCAGAACCTTTAACTTTCAGTCCTTTGCTCAGGGTTACAGCACAGGTCCCTTCCCCCGGAAGTCATCCCCTCACCCTTATACCAGGAGCATTCGTTCCATGCCTAGAGACATGCCTTGACGAATCATTTCCACACAGCTATCTCGCATTATGATCTTAATTGTATGGAGTAACGGAAGCATGCTTAAAATGTGCCAGTGAAGCCGACGGCCTGCTCATCTGGCATCTGAGTCCCAATGAAGTGTCGGCGCTGACGTTCATGCTAGGTGTCTGATGCGGATGCCAGGAGATGCACCATTGTTTGAAAGGCGCCCTTGTGTTTGCATGACGACTTGGCTTCCTAGCCCCGAATGCAGGCAGGACTTGACTGATCCGGACACCGCCTGCATGCTTCAGCATGGAAAGGCTTCCAATTGCATGAGCCTGATGTCAGGCTTACACCCTGTCAAGTAACAGCCAGAACTTCTTTCTCTTTTACCACTTCCCAACCCCCCACACCGGCACTGTAAGTGGCGCACACAGGTGGGTTTGGAGAAGTTAACACACATCCCTACAGCAAGTTTCAGCTATGAATCTCTTTAGGTGCACAGCCTATTTACAGTGACACAAGTAGGGCACAGCACTCTGGGAAATTTCCCTGCACTGATGATTCCCAGTGCCCCATGAAAATCGTAGCCTTATGTATTTCGAAAATATTTCCACAAAATATCAGACCTCTAGTTGTATGGCCCAGCTCTGAGGAACCTTTAAGTGCTATAGAAAACTGACCTTAACTCCATTCACTTGACTTTAGTTATTTTGGAAAATTCCAAGAATTCTTCTGTAAGGTCTAAACTTGTGATTTTTACACACTTAATCTATTTCTAGAATATTTCCACAAAATCTCAACCCTCTAGACAGCCTAGCTCTGAGGAACCTTTATGTGTGGTCTTGGGAGTTTTACTTACACAAGACATCTGATTTGTTAGTCCCGCCTCCTCTAGTTGCTTGGACCACTTCCTCTACAATCTTGTTGGTAATCTCTGCCCTCAGAACACTTTTGTGTAAGTAAAACTCCCATGAGCTTCATGTATTCTGGTGGCCTTTTGAACTGTGGTGGAGTCACTGCAATTAGCTATGGTGGAGTCACTGCAGCCACTTTATATCAATCTGTCAATTAAAAAAAAAACACTGCCTTAAATCACCATGATGACACTCCAGTGTTCTCCTGAAATTTTGTAATAGATGGTTTCCAGACATTTCACTGCTTAATTCCTAATTTTGTTAGTTCACTTTAGAGGAATGTTTTATCTGAGCATTTTGGTCGCCATTAATTCATGGCACGCCTTGACAAATGTGTCCCACTTACAGATGAGATGAACGACAACCAGAACACGTTGTCCTATGTACTGATTAACCCCTCGCCAGACACCAGGCTGGAGCTCAATGACATTGTGTAAGTGTTCAGTGACATCATATAAGTGCTCAATGACATCGTATAGGTGCTCAATGACGTCGTGTAAGTGGCCAGCACATTACAGCCGGGCTTCGATTCGGAATGACGCTGAGACCATCATGACCTTCCTATGATGCAGGTACCTGATCCGCCCGGACCCGCTGGCACACGTACCTGGCGAGTCGGCCCCACCCTCAACCAAGACCAACGTGCGCATGAAGCAAGAGCTTGGGATGGAGACCAAAGACGAGACCCAACTCTGAGCGGCCCGCCCCACCTCAACAACCAACAAACCCCCACAACTCACTTTCCTGACGGGCCCAGTCTGAAACTAACAAGCTGCTGGACGCAGAGAGACGGTGTGCTTGCTCTAGATGTGCATGGTTTACACAGATGTCTGGCTGGGTGCCCCGTGCTGGGGCAGGTGAGCCCTCTCTTTGGGGGGGGGGGGGGCAACACAAAGAATAAGGGCACATTCAGGGATCAGGCTTTTCCTAGAGCCTGGGAACATTCTTTCATTCCTCCATTGAAAATGGTTCTAGTGTTATCCATCTCCCGGGAAATCAAAACCCAAACACACGATATTTGCTTTGCATAGACGGGGCAGTGTCAGTTGGACCAATCTGCTGAAAAAAATACTTTTTTTTAGTTATTCTTCTCCATGCCAGTAGAAATGTTTTTATTTATTTATTTTTTTAGCGCTTAGTCAAAATCAGCTTGTTCATGCAGCTATAGACTTTTACTGAAGCAATTAATGTGTTTACCTTGCAAGACCCCTCGTCAGACACTATTTTCTTCATAAGACATTGTTATAGTTCTGTAATATAACATTTTACTGTATTTGTTTGGCTTTTAGTTAGCACTTTTTTAACAGTGAGATGCACTCTTTTTGCAGTGGTGAGGAGAACCATGCGATTTGGGGATGGGGAGGGAGAGGAACATTTTACTGGGATTTTGTTTTCAGGACCAACAGAGAATGGACAGAAGTGTCAGAGGGAGTCAGGGATGAAAGGAATCAAGGGCGTGGAAGCTGTAGGGACAGCGTCCAGCTGGTGCTCCAATGAGAACGAAACCATCAATAATCGTAGCGCATGGGGTAGGCAGTAACCCCAAAACCCTCGGCCCCCATCTCTTCATCACAAAATAATGATACCACCCCCGGCCCCATAAACAACTCCATTATCATTAGGGCCACTGCAAGTGCAAAAAATACATTTATTTGCAAAGTGTGACACAGTCTTATTCTGTAAACCCCCTACCGTTCAGTTTTGAGCAGTATTCTCACATGATTCCTTTGATGCTGTAACCTGCTCTTCTGTTGCCGTTCCCGTGGATCCCGGAGGATGCTACGCGGGGCATTACCCATCCGCTCTCCTGCAGCCCCAACTCAGGGTTCTTCTTGGACAGCTCTGTGTCAAGGACAGAGGTTGTGGGAAAGTGGTATGTTAGTATCTGGTCATTTTAACCGGGTGGTTTGGAATCGGTGTTCTGCAAAGCAGGTTTTTGTAGCATTGTTGGATCTTTTATGTTACTTCTGATGCTGTATTAACATTTTTAAATGCAGAAATTCGAGATTCACTTTGCATATCACAATATGCATATTGTAATATCCAGTGGCTTGTCATATACTTAAATGACGGCACGCTGACATCCACTATTACAGAGAAACGGCTCCTTTTCTGTTTGAGTTTGCCACCCGTGATTCCTTCACGCCGGACGTTGTTCCGGGAACGGATGCCGAAGCCAAAAGGGACGCGAAGCCAAGTGAACTCTGTACAAATGGGGAAAATGTTTACTAATGTGCCCTGACGGGAAGTTTAAGAACATTTACGTGGAATTCTTTCCCTCCTCCACTGTGTAGGAACACCACCAAATGGCACTGAATCGCTTACAAATCGTGCAATTTCAGTATTAGGTTGTTTTTCTTTATGTTGTGGCTTCACCTGTTATCTGTGCAATATTTTGATGCTATACTTCTTCACTGCACATTTTGGTGGTATAAGTCTTACCCCCTTCATCCAGAAGGAAACAGGATATAGGATGTAAGTACGACGATATTGCTGCTGTAAAACACTGTAAAAAAGAAACATGTTCTATCAGAACATAGTTTACATGAATTAAATTAGAGTAACATACAGTGGAATGGTTTGTTTGATATACTACATTTGACAGTTTTACATTTATTAAAGAATTACTGTAATTGTATACATTTGTATTTTGCAATGGTAAAATAGTTGATGTAACATATGTAGGTAAATGCTTGCAGAGAGGGGCTTCTTCTGGAGGTTTCTGTGGCTGTAACTGGGCCCAGTCTAACCAGATAATGAAAGCCTCACAAGAAACTAGGAAATCGGATCAGACTTACAGATAATTTACAGTGACACGGATGTTTACATACGTTCAAACATTCAGTTTTCTGACAATTATACCTCACTTTATGCCTGTCACTGTTGAAAAGTCGATTTGAGGAATTGCCTGGTGTGTTATAGAGAGGAATTATGAAGGTAAAATTGTCCATTACGATTGCTGTATTAAATGACGAACACTCTGATTTCTCTAACGATCCTAAGTGTTGAGAGTAGCACTTGTTGGATAATAGCTACAGGATTATCCGGTAAACAAACATGGCTAAGAAGGTGCCAAGTCAGGATGAATTTGATTTTGAGATCTGAAGTTTATATCATGTTAATATGTTTATAGAGTACTGTTTTCCCCCCATTTTTAATTGTTTGTATTTCTTTACTATAGAAGATAGGTAAAAGGTAGTTTTGCAGTAATTGCAGTAATCATTCTAGATTTTATTGTATTTATTAAATACTACCATGTACGGTTGGATTTGCTCTTACTGTGATATACTCATTATGTACTTTTTAAAAAGCAAAACCAGGTCCCAAATCCACACTAATCGAAACTCTCTCTAACAGGAAACAGCCCAATGCACGCACAGCTCTAATTTCAATAAGCTACTTATGTTTATGCGGGTTTCGGAAGAACACTTCTGCATTTCTGCTTAAGCAAAGTTTATCTTTCCTTTATTTAACCTGAATGAATTATCCTACATTATAATCAACTTATTTGTTTTCGGTGGCATTGTCACACATGTGATAAGAATGTCGTTTAATTGTTTATTGACTCCAGTGCATTTTATTTAAAACACAAACGGTTCGCCTAGAGTGAAATGAGAAATTGCGACTTTTATGCCAAACAAATGGCACTAGATAATAGATAAATCCATTTGAACCCACTAAGCCTAAACTTTTTCATACAGAATTCATCCCATAGGGTCATTCATTGTAAATACCACAATTCCGAATTGTACTAAAAACAGAAATATATTTTGCTATATGTTGCATGAAGGAGCAAATAACTCTTTTGTTCTCCATGAAATGGGTATAATCACACGTGATTTAGTCAAAACGATGGCAGCTGCCAAAACTGGACAAAAATGAACGAGGTGCCTGATCAGTTTGCCAGTTTGCTTAGAAACACCCTGATTACACATGTTCATTGTAGATCATTTTCTCTCATGCCCGGATTATATTGACCATTTCCACGACTACTAAATTTGTAGAAATGGACACATAGCTAAATTATATTAAGGAATGGAAAGTATAGTCATCTCCTTGATTTCATGATGCATCTAAAGTTTTTTTCCCTTCAATAAGCATACGTATCATATTTACCGAGAATGCATGCACATCTCATATGTATATTTCACTACCGTATTAATAAAAAGAATAAAGTTCAATAAATATACCGCATGTGACATAGCTGTATACTTCATCATGGGACTGGAGGTCCAGTGTGCATGAGAGCCATTTCCCTGCATTTTACATTATTGTCATCTGAAGCACAAATATCTTTCCCTTTAGTGGTGGTAAATGAAAATAGAGGAACATGGGCTGTGTGACAGAGGAATGACCCCCCCCTGCATCAGCTGCTGCAGAGTCTGCTTATATCAGGCATACCTCAGCTCTGAGCTGCTTTAGAAAGAGAAGTTATTTGGCCAGAAGGTGGGGCTTCTGTTCCATTTACCCCTGAAAGGGAATCTCCCTTCCACATTATAAATTTGCCAAACCCAAAGGTACTATTGCTCTCCTGCAACCCTCACATGTAACACCTCCATGTCACGTCTCTCCATGTCTTTGTTCCTTTACGTGACTTTCCGAATGAAATCTGACAAGTCTCGACAGCTCGGAAATCTGTGCTGAAGATTTTTCTCGTAGGAGTGTTTGTAATTATAAATGCATAAAATAAACTTTAAAAAGAAAAAAAATGGTGTGCTCCAATTTCTCACGGTGCAAAGGCATTTGGTGGCTGAGTCATCTTAATGCTTAATGGTATTCATGGAACAGCACCCCTCCCAAGGACCTGTCCTAAACCTGTCATCGTAAAAACAGATCCGATAGAATTTAAGGATCAGGAATAACGAGCCAACTGAAAAAAAATCAGCAGCGAGACAAGGAAAGCAAAAGAGGAAGCAGTGTCCTGCTTGTAATGTTTATTAAATTTCAGTGCTTCTCTTTAAAATAAATATATGGTAGTATAATATTAAAGAAACGAGAAAAACAGCACAAGCATGAAAGCATGGTATCTGTCACAGGAAATAAATCCTAGCATGATCAATATTAATACCAATCTTTCAGTAAACATAAACCAAACATTATGTACAAAAATGGATATTTCAAAATATATTTACAAAATGCAGCAAATCATATTATCAAGTATTCTAAAGCCTTTCTTTGACATGTTTGAAAATACGAGTACAGCAGTAGCAATGGCTGACCGGGCTGCTTCACTCTGGAGGTGACCTGTATGTTTTTGGTAGTGGAGGCCTCTCTCAGTTAGTCCAGCAGTTAGAGAACCTGAATACCCACTGTTTTGAGAGACTGCTTTTTGTCGGCCATTTTCCTTTCTACTCTGACCAGAAATTAATGACACTGGGTAACATTATGGGATGCCGAGGCACACTTGAGCACACGAGCTATCTGCATGAATGTCAGAGAGAGAGGGAGAGAGAGAGAGAGGACAACATGTCTCGAGACATATGCACCTTCAGAGAGGGAGTCTGAGCATTTGCATTAGTGTATAATCAAACAGCAATCCAACAAGTTAGCCATTGTGAATATATTAAATACTGTCACCCAAAAAAAAAATAGTAGTAGCAGTAACACACTCCTCATAACAGAGCACGTTCCTCAGAAAGGGGGAAAAAAAATCCGTAGCTTGACAGTCAGTGTTGATTATGGTTACATTGCATGATAAAAGCATTAAAAATGTGTTTGTGTGCCTCTCCTACTGTGCCAAATGCAGAAACATTGCTACTTCTAACAACGTTAGATTTACGTTATGAACACGTAACACCTGCTTTAAATATTTATACCACATATAAATAGAAAAAAGCAAACCACCATCGATAGGTCTTGCGCATCCCTTTCGTACCAAAATAAAATTAAGGAGAAACCATATTAAAATTCCTGTTGTAGGTGAAAGCGTTGAATACATAGAGGACAGTACCACAGCACTTGATGACCTACATATGTCCAGGCTCTTCTCAGTAGAGTTTGGAGCAGCATATTTTTGGACAGTTTTGGAAGGATGACAGTCACGACTTCTCCTGTCGTTATCGATGCATGCCAGATTACCAGGAACAAACATCTTTCCAAGTAGATGCCCAGATCTCAGATCCTTGCATGTTTAAGATGAGCCCGTGATTACGGCCAAATTCTTTAAAAAGTCACTGGTTAGAAAAAAAGAAAAAAAAAACTCCACATGCAGAGGCCTGGCTGAGAAAAGCTGGAGAGAAAGCAACAGCAGCCCTGAAGAGATCACATTAAGATCCAGACCGCATGCGCTCACCCGGTGATAAACAGGATTCCGTGTCACAGCAGGGCTCCTGAGTTCTCCACGGCCTTTGCGTACGACTGGCTTCCTCGGGTTCGGCTAGAGCACGACAGCGTGGATGTCAATGTGGGCTATCCAGGAGCGAGGACTGAACAGGGCTCCACCCCGCAGCCTCATTTCACGCTCCTCTTGGATGACGCAGGCCTCTTGACCTGCCACAGGTGATTGTGGATGGTGAGAGCGTCCACACTGACGGACACCGTCTTTGCTGGGATGACTGTGAACTGCTTGCGGTCTGAGCTGTACTTGTAGAGCTTGTCAATCATCTTCTTGTTGATGCACTTGGGTCCGGTGCCGGTGAGCTTGAGGATCTCTTCAGTATCAGGGAAGAAGGAGTATAGGGCCCGAAACTGGCAGCCGCCATCGCGGAACAGGATCATCAGGTGGTTCGACTCGCACTTCTCCAGCTCCTACAACAGGCAATTATTTCATTAATCATTCATGTGTTTCAGTCAAACCTGAGAAGCCCATAGACAGATAACAGAGCTTTTTACTGAGGTGCTGTCCTCTGACTTTGCCAACAAAACTATGTGGTGGTTTAAACGAAGACAAAGACGAGGGGATAAAGCAGAATGCATGCAAACCTCAAGGATGGAATTTTTCTGGGGCTCGTTGACCTTCCCAGCCAAGCAGCAGTGAGCAATGGCATTGTGGATTATCGGCTTGTTGGACTTAGCGCTGGGCTCCTTAAACAGCTTGGGGCCTACAGGACAAGAGATTCCAGCAAAACTGAATGATACTGCAGTGAAAATATCAACACGGACATATAAAGAAAAACTCCCATTTATAATATACAACTCCAAACAAAAGCACCATTGCCTTTTAAAGCCATTAAACAAAGCTGTCAAACCAAAAGTAGCAGAGCTATTATGACATAATGTCTGTCCTTGAGCATTCAGCAAGCATTGCAACTTACCACTGTACTCTGCCACGGATGTAATGGAGGAGGCCGTGGATCCATTATCCCAATCCCGCTCCGTGTTGCGGCTGGCATTCCGACTTAGCACCGGGAAAGAGTCAATAAAGTCACCCCTATAATCAGATAAGAGGTTCTTCTGACTCCATTTGGTTTAGTCTCAAGATAGTTTGTGTAAACTAGAGTACTGGGAACTGAATAGTGGGGAATGTGAGGGACTCCACATCTGCCATGTCCACATCCCTTAATTTACTGATATCACTGATCCCATTACATCCATGTTTTCAAAAACATCTGCATGGCCATTCAGCAGAACGGGATAATGCTGTGATTCTCAGAAGAATAAAGTTTCTCCTGTGCAGAAAGCATTTCCAATCAAATTAGTCACCATTCAGTTCCCAGGCCCATTTCTCAAATTGAAGTTGTAATTTGAAAAAAGACCTCATATCATCTAAAAAAGTTACCCATACTGAAATGTACCAAATGCATATTTAGTGAAACAATGCATTTTTACATTTAAGGTCAGAGTTTTTGGTTTCTTAGCAACTTTCCAACAGAATTTCATAAACAGATAAATCCAAATGTCCAAAAATGAATCCATGTAACCTTAAAAAATATGATAATTCCATAATACACAACAAACATTCGGCTTGCAACTTTCATGACAAAATCTGTATTGCATGTTACTGTGCACCCAGAACCCTACGGAAAATCAAAGATACAAAGTTAATCAGTTATAGTAGCAGCAGCAGCATGTAAACACCCTCAAGGAGTCATTGATGAAATGCCATTGTGAAATATGATAGGAGTGGGGAAGGTTTGGTATGAACAGACAAACATAATGAAGTGTTAGCATGTACTGTGAGACAGGCGTCTATTTCAGATGAAAGGTACAGCGAGAGCCTCACCGCTGGGAGCCGCCCCCCCCGGAATTGACACTCTCAGCCTCTGTGGTGGCGGCAGAGGCCAGTGAGAGACTGGAGCCAGACTGGGCACTGCTCAGGTTGTCAGCTGCGGAGGAAGCCGTACAAAAAAAAAAAGAAAAAACACAAAATCAGTTCAAAGCCAGCTTCCATTAACACCTCACACCTGCTGCTAGACAACATGTTGAGACCATTTCTGACTCATTTCTACTTAGTTATTGTCTTAACATCATGGCAAGACTCTTAAAACTTAAATTTAAGGTTTCTCGGCATCTCACGCACTTTACCGATATTCCACTTAATTACATACTCCGCCTAACATTTCCTATCACAGAAAAGGCACGAATTGACTGCAATACTCAGCAGCGGAGTCCGGAACACAAAAGCGGCACAAATACGGATCGTTAACATGGCTTGGGCATATTGCAGCTAGACCCTATTAAAATGCAACTCAAACTGGAAAAGCACACCACAGGATCACAGGAAATAGCATGTCCTGCAGGTTACAGATGTGTAATTCAGTCAATCTTTCAGCGCTAAGCTATTCTTCCGGCAGGTTAGAGCGTATATTGACGTAATCAGGAAACTGCACATTCAGCTAGCGGTCACCCAGACGCACGCCGTGCTGGAGCGGAGCGGCCGCTTACGGGTCGAGGAGCACTTGGAGTAGGTATCGCTGCTGGACTCTCCCCGGTGCACCGACTTGGGCCGCTGCTTCTTAGGCCTGCTCTTGGGCTTGGCCAGGCCCTGCTCCTCAATCATCTCCTGCTGCTTCCGCCTCAGGTACTCCTGCTTGATCAGCTCCCTCCGGGCCTTCTCCTCCTCCTTCCTGATTCGGTCTTCCTCTGCTTTTCGCCTGGGGGGGACACACACTCCGATTTACTCCTCCTGGAAAACACCCTTAACTAAAACTTTTTTTTCTCCCTACTTGGGAGTTTTTGGTTCCTCTCCTCCACTGTCATCTGGAGTTCTCTTTCATGTCTTTCCTTTTCCCTGTTTTTGAATTACTCTCTATAAATGATGCAGGAACTTTACGGCTGAGAGACTCTGAGGCGTCCTGGGTTGGTCTCTCCAAAGCCCCTCCCTGCCTTGCCGCCGGCCGGAGGCCCTCACGCTACCTGGCCTCGTCCCGTTTCAGCTCTGACTCCAGTTCCAGCTGCTGCTTGCGTATCCGAGCCTCCTCAGCCTTGCGCTGCTGCTTCAGGAGAAACGCCGCCCGCTTCTTCGCCATCTCGTCCTCTGCCTTCTGCTCGTCCTGGGAAGCAGAGACACCGGCTTTCAGACAAAACTACACGACATGCAGGCAAATTCCCTTCAATCTGCAACACCGCAAATGACCCTTGCAAATATAAAGCAGGAGTGGAAAGAGTCTGCTGAGGTGAAGTGATTTAGTCGCTCCCCACCATAGAGTATTTGACATTTAACAAAACAGTCGGCCTCCATATACGGGTTCCGCATCTGCGGATTCAACCAACTTGTTTATATTTTCCCTATTTATAATTCCATTATCTATATGTTC